ATTCTGTGTAGATTTATAGATTCCTCCTTCAAAGCTAAATGTTCATCCCATTGTAACCTCCTTCATGATTTCACTATTCTAACACAAAGTTCTTAATTGTAGAATATTCTGAATTTTCTACTACATTCTTTTTAGATTCATACATTTTCCTGAGCACGTTGTGTTCTTCCCACATTTCAAACAACACAAAACCGATGATAAAGTAGTTGTTTTATTACTAAGCATATATTTTAATCCTTATTGTTTATGAAAATGACAAAAAATTTCATACTCATTGAATTTAAGAGTAAAGCTGACTATATTTTTAACTATGTGCAGTTACGTGAAACATCCAGAGGGGCGACGTGTCACTCCAGAATTCCTCCAGAATGGCCACTACCAAGTGGAGGTGATGGGGAATCGTTATGATGTATCTGTCTACTTCAAAAGCCCATTTGATCCCAATGGAAAACGACCATTAGGCATTTATGATGAACAGTTACCAATCAGGCAATAAAACCTCAGTTGTTCTACTGCTGAAAAGAGCAGCTCATCCTTGTGGTTTTCCGTCATAACACAAAAGACCTTTATGCCCAAGACAGCGGAAAGTGTTCAGTATAAAATAGTTTGCACTTGTACCATGTCTTAACAAACACATGCACACACACATATATTTTTATATATATACACATACACACACACACAGGTTTAGCAGTTAAGAAATGGTTGCAGATAATGACAAAGAGGGGGAAAGAGAGATTGAAGTGTGGCATGGGTTATAAAAGAAAATGTTTAAAAGAGTACATTAAGAAAGTTAGATGGTTGGAGCCCACAGTACATAGCATTTAAAGACCTAAACAGATGAGGTAATCAATATATCTCTTGCATATGTATTACTTTAATAACAAGCCTGACTCCTTAACCATTTGACAATTCCAAGGCCCTCCAGTGTGCCATTTAAATAGGACATAGACTACTTTGTCTGTCAGAAGTTATCTTTATGTTCATTTCTTAGCCGTGCTACAAAACATCCTTCTTTTGTAAATGAGTTCACTGTTTAATGATACATGAATGCAGTCTAATCCAGACCTTTTGCAGATGAACACAGAGTATCTTTATGTCTTTCAAGAAAAGTAAAACTTGAATGTAATTCATTACATACCACTGTAATACAGACACACTGAGTTCTAGTGATTTGAACATTTCAGCATGGCTGCCAGCTGTGATGTAGCAAATATCCTACGATATTCAGTATTTTCCCACACATCCATATTGTGTATTACATCTGTGATTACGTCAGTAATCTAGTTATTTTGTTCAGTCATATTTCAGGTAAGGCTGGCTGGAAGTCCCCAGAAACAAAGTGCATTTGTGATAAGTCTGACAAACAAGGAGGCCATGATATTAGTCCCTCAGTCAATCCATTGGCACAGGAATATATAATTTAGAAATTATTTTTGTTGGGAAGCATTTTCATTGGAATTGTTTTACCTATTATGACCCAAAATTTTCTGGTCCTACAAATGAAAGATGAGAATCCACAAGGAAGTTCAGCTGTGTAGAGTATTACTTCTTTACTTTGTACATACTGATTGAGTTACTTTGCTCAAGATAAAAATACCTTATATCACGGCTCACCAACTTTTTCTGGGTGAAGGCAATTAATATACTCCCATTCAAAGTACACCATATGCATTTACAAATGCACATGAACCCACACACACAAACAATTGTGCACATTCAAAATCACTACTTTTTATGATTAAGGGGCCATAAATATATAGTATAAACATTTTTTTATATTTTCTGAGACCAAAATATAAGAAACTGTAAAACATAACTATTGAAATCCCTCTCTCTGCCATCAGTTTTCACACGTCTGAAAACACTTTCCAGACGCCTTGGTGCCCACAGATACATGGTTCGCAATCCCTGACTTACATAATCTAAGTAGTACTTTATTAATTATATAATTGTTATGTTATAGTTATTACTAGCCTCAACATATGGACTGAAGGAAAGTGTAAGTTTTTCCCAGAATTTATTTAGTATTTGTTCTATTTATTCATTCAGTCTTCCTTCAGACAGCCATCTGATACTGCAATTTTTACTAATCCTGCTCTAAAATATTTGGTTGTAAATAGGGTAGTCTGTAACTAACCTCTAACTGCATATCTGGTATAAAAACCTGGTGAAACAATTTGACATTCAGGGTAAAATAGGGAGAATTCAGAAAAGGAATTCTGCATCTGTAAACATTTTACTGAATGGACAAAAAGTTCAGTTTATTTGCAAGGAAATATATTCTTACAGTAAATGTTCTGATTAAAAGTCTACACTTTATGTAATGCACAACTCATCTTGGACCAATGTTTACATCTATGTAAAAAATGTAAATAAGGTGAACTGCAGAGAGATGGGAGCTCCTTTTTCTAACATGTGAAATTGTTTCAAGACAATGGATTACAGTTCTTACTTTGTGAACACTGAATACTGCTGACCAAGATATAAAATTTTTATTTAATAAGACAGAAGTTGAGATTTCAGGTTCTCACAGTAATGAGGATGAAGATGACTGTCCTCTGGGATGTTGTTCCATGTCATCATCATCATCATCATCTATGGTGCTTCAGCCCATTTTCAGGCCATGACCTCCCCCCTTTCTCAGAGGTTTCTTGATCTTTGAAGTGTGCATTTGTGAGTAGTGAGTGACCACCCCACTGACTGCATGATTCCTACTCAATCCTGATTTGACTGCCAGAGCCATCTAGCAGTGAATCAGGAGACTTGGGTGAGAAGTGGCTGCTGAATTTTGCATATGAAACATCTCGTATCACATTCGTAAGGTTCTTTTACATGCTGTAAATCTACAACTGGGACCACCGGCTTTACTTCCCCTCCGAAAAAAGTTGTGCTACGGATTTTTATCACCCTAAAAAATCCATCGACCTCGGCCGGGATTGAACCCGCGAACCGTGTCCAGTGGTGAGTACGCTAACCACTAGTCCACCGAATGCAACTGTTGTTCCATGTAGTGTGACAGAAATTGATTGATGTTTCAGAGGTGTTTACTGCCTCATTATCAGTGTGATTTCCATGATGGAGGTAGTAACTACTTTTGATTTAAGCTTTGTAGTGAGGGGCTACATATTTTGTTTCCTTCATTTATTACCACTAGGGTGATTAAATCAATGATGATGAGATGAGCAAGACATGTAGGAAAGATGCTGCTACAAAACTATGGTTGGAAAATATCAAGGGAAGAGTCCATGTGGCACATCTAGGCATAGATGGGAGGATAATACCAAACTGATGTTGAAGAAATGTACTTAAAGGTGTGGACTACATTCAGATGGCTCACGATAGGGTTCAGATGTTGGATTTTGTAAACATGGCAAATAATTCTTCATCTTTCATTAAAGCAGATGAGTATCAACTTTTCAAGGAAGACTGTGGAATTAAAGAGGGAGGGTATGTAACATCCCAATCGTTCTTTAGGTAACATATTTTTTATTCCAACTGCTACTTTTAAATACAATACCCGGCACAACAATCCAAATTTTAACTGTCAGTATTCATATGATTTCCTTTAGCATCCAAAATTGTCTTGTTGATTAGTTATTTCATCATTCAGAACTTCACAAAACATCTTATGGTATCTTCTGTTAGGTATTTCTGCAGACTGTGATATATATTTTTTCTTCCTGACCTACCTGGTTTACATCCTTCAGAATAAAATCAATCGAAGGTATATAAAAACATCTCTCTATTCAGGTTATGTGTTGACTCTATTCATGAAGCCAGAGGGTTTGCATGTATTGTGATGCTGTTAATTCGAGTGTCAGTCAATGGCTTGTAGTTTTTTGGGTTCACTGGAAGCTTCTCGAGTTCATCAAGAGTATCAGAACCATCTATTACCCTGTAGAAGAGTGACAGAGACTTATGATCCCATTACAGATAAGAATGATACTTTAAAAAAGACAAGAAAACAACTTACTTTCCAAATAGAGTGTATTTGAGATCCAAATGAGGCTGAGGTGCATATGTTATGAAAAACTGACTGGCATTAGTGTTTGGTCCATTGTTTGCCATTGACACCATACCTCGTGCATTATGCTGTAAAACAAAATATTCATTCTACATTACTAATTTCCGTATCAGAAATAATTCAGTCTGCCAGATCAGAGTTTTCTTCTTCTATACCTGATGCGAAAGAAAATGTGACCTTTGAAACACCGTGATTTTTGAAAGCATTTTCAAAACTTCCAACAGATGATGGATAAAGTCCAAAATAAATAAATAAATTAGTAACATAATACCACCACCAAAGACATTAAGAGAATAATTCTTTCTGCTTGTTCTTTAAGCAGTCTGAGGTTTTCTGAACTAACTCCATGGAGCAGAGTACTTCTTGAGAACCTAATAGTATAGTCAGCTAGTCAAGGAGTTCCCTCCCTTTTATCCCCATCGTCATCCAAATGAATCCAATTCACACCCTCCAAACCAATTTCCCTAAGATCCACTTTAATATTATCCTTCATCTATGTCTAGGTCTTCTGAGTGGTTCTTCCACTCAGGCTTTGCAACCAAAATTTTGTATGCACTTCTCATTTTCTTCATATGCTACATGGCCCACCCATCACATCCTCCTTTATTTTATGATCCTAATAATATTTCTGAAGACTACAAATTACGGAACTTATTAAGCAATTTTCTCCAGCTTCCAAGCTCCCTGGGACCAAATATTCTCCTATGCATCTCATTCTCAAGCATTCTCAATCTGTAGGATCAGGCTTCACATACACAGCAACAGGTAAATTATAGTTGAATGTATTTTAATCTTTCTGATAGGGTGATTAATAACTTGTGAAATGCAAAGGATGTTGAAGAAAGAAGTTGTGGCCCAATTTAAGGTACTACCCCAGCACTTGTTTGGGTGTACTGAGCTATTAAGATACCAAATCTTTGGGCCAGTATTTTAACCTGGTACCTCCTAACTATAAAGCATGAGTGCTAACCACCTGACCACTAAATTTGGTGAAGCTGCTTATTTACTATGGAAGTATTATGAATACATACATTTCCATTATCAGTGTTCTGTTTATTATGACAATCTTACTGACCACTGTTTAATTATATAAATTATCGGTCACTGAGAATGGCATATTTCCAATTCTACTTGCAGACATAATAATAATAATAACATATTAACAAAAACCATTAGATAAGATACATCTGTATCTTATTCTCATTTATGATAGGACATTTAGGTTATGATTGTCTCTATTATGTAAAGACATGAATATGAGTAACAAAGTATATCTTAACTACCAGGTAAACATAATACAGTATGTTTATATAAAAGCTGTTATGCTTAAAGGAAATGTACTCTAAATACACAGTTTCTAATTAGCAGAGCTCTGTGTATGATTTTGACTGAATACAAACCTTTAAATCTTCTTTGAACTCATCTTCAAACTTCCGACCCCATATAGAATTTCCACCCTTCCCTGTTTGTGTTGGGTCTCCAGTTTGAACAATGAAGCTTTTTATGTTCCGGTGAAAAAAGCAGCCATTATAATAGTCACTTGCACACAGTGCAAGAAAATTCTGCATGAAAAGAAATGAGTTTTAATTCCGTAGTTCACAAGATGTACTTTCTTTTTGCAATAGTCTCTTACACATAGTACAGAAAAATCTTGCATAAAAATAAATGCAGTTTTGAATATGAAGCATACTTTGTCTGTGCTTAATATGGGCTACTTGAAAATTACTGTTCACTCACTTTGTATATTTGGTTACCTTACCTCACAAGCTTTAGGACAATATTCGCAAAACAATTCGATTTTCATATCTCCGACATCTGTGTGGATAGTAACAGACTGAAAGTAGAAAATGCAGTAATTATTAATTATGAACTTCATATCCAAGTCTGTATACACTTCCCTAATAATGTGGTTGTTTGGTAAATGTTTGCGAACTTGTAATTCCACAAAAATAGGTCTTGTAATTATGCCATTAATTTAATAACTGGAATTCAGAAGACATAACACACAATGCTTTTCACAGATGTTAATATGTCAGAATATAATACATCACACTATTATAATAAAATACCTAGAATTGAAATAAATGAAAAATTCCAAGAATACAATGTTCCACAGCAGATAAAATATTCATAACTACATAAGCAATTTTGTAGTTTATTTATGAATAGCCAACAAATATCTACATTTAAAATATTATTACAAACAACAACAAATAACATTATATACCAAGTAAATGATTATACATATAAATTCCACACACACTTCAAACAGAATAAAATTTATTTACATGTCATAGCACAAATACAACACTTGTTTGTAATAAAAATATAAATTACATATTTATGACAGTGATTAACAGCCTATTGCAGTATTACAGCAAAAATAATTATACATAACCTCTACTGCTTATATGTATTTATAATAACTGAGAATTTTTGGTTGAGGTAAATTCTTCTATTGAGTAGAAGGAATGAGATAAGAGACATTCGTTTAGTGTGGGCTTAAACTTCTTTATATCGTAATTCAGACCTTGTATAGTGGAGGGAAGATTACTGAATAGCTTAAATCCAGTAAACTCCTTTATGACATTCAAGTTTCACATTTAGCATATGAAGGTTAAATCTGTATGTTGTACTTATATTGTGGATATGTGTTTGCTTAAAATTTTTCTACAGATGATGATAATGAAAGCAGGAATTTGCTGGTTACTGTAAGAATATTATATTTCTTAAACAGTTTCCTACATGAGGCTCTCCATTTCTGTTGGTAGTACAAAATCTCATGAAATATGTTCTGTCAAAATTTAATGAGATTATGTTGGCTTTAATCCACTTGTTCAAGCTAGCAAAGACATCATTCATGCAAATTTGGAAACAGTTTCTGGGTGTAAAATAAAAAAGTATGGATTTAGACTGAGAGTTAATTGGTTGGCAGTAAAACGATATATATATATGAGGAAAAGTTAAGGACCAAGTATTGAACCTTGAGGAACTCATAGATGGTTGTCTTCTGGGTTGTTGTGCAGTGTAGTCTGGTAGAAGTTTACCGACGTTGCAGAGGTCCTTGCTGCCTCCATCATCAGGGTGATGAGTGACCTGATGCTTTAGGTATATCTATGTGTGAAATAATAAAGATAGTCAAGGAAATTTATTGACAGAGAACCGTGATATTGTTAATAGATGGAAAGAGTATTTTAGTCGTATCCTGACCGGAAATATAATAGATGGAAAGAGTATTTTAGTGGTATCCTGACCGGAAATATAATTGAGACAGAGCAGCCGACATATTATACTGTGGATAATTATATTGAAGATCCTACGTCTGAAGAAGTACAAAAAGTAGTCAAATGTCTGAAAAATGGTAAATCACCCGGAAGTGATGGGATTACTGCTGAACTACTAAAAAAAGGGGGAGTCAAGTTATGGGAGAGAATACATAATCTGATATTGTTAATCTGGAAAGAAGAAAAGATTCCAGAAGAATGGACCCTAGGAGTAATACAACCTATACATAAAAAAGGAGACAAAATGGAGTGTACCAATTATAGAGGAATTACACTTCTGAATGTAATATATAAAATCGTGTAAAGTATTCTATATAATGCATTGGTTGTATATGTAGAAGACATGTTAGGAGAGTATCAGTGTGGCTTTAGAGCAGATAGATCAACGATAGACCAGATATTTGTATTGAGACAGATTCAAGAGAAAGCCTATGAATATAATATTGACTTACATAGTTTATATGTGGACTTCAGACAAGCATTTGATAGTCTCAATAGGGACCAAATGTTAAGCGATATTCTCCTATTAGGGATACCATCTAAATACGTCAGGCTCATTAGAGCAATTTTGAAAGACTGCAATGCAGTAGTAAGAGTAGATGGTAAGCTAACTAAACCATTTAATGTCAATATGGGAGTTAGACAAGGAGATGCTCTCTCAACAATGCTTTATAGCCTGACGCTGGAAGCATCTATTCGGAAACTTGAGATCTCAGGACATATAGGCATAAAATCAATACAAGTGAGTGCGTATGCAGATGATATAGCTATTATTAGCAGAAATAAAGCTGCACTG